CGTAATCAGAAATTAGCTCCTCGTTTTTATGGGCCTTTTCCTATTATTGATCGAATTGGTTTCGTGGCTGACAATTATAACAGTTTTATACTTATATCAATATTCAAGTGCAATTAGGTCAAAATCAAAATTCATATACCTCAGTCGAATGCATATTAAACCTCTCAAGTCGTTTGAGAAAATTTTGTGCAAGATCTGCAGCAGGTTCTGAAGATAATTCCATAGAAACATTTGAAATCGTCTGTAAGAGGTAAACACGATCCTTCACCCAGTCAACAGAACTAGACTCAACATTAACCATTTCCACATCATCCTCATATCCCTGTGCATAAGGGCTTTGAACCTCGCTAACTGGCTTAAACTTGTCAACAAGCTGCCAATGATGCTTCAAGAATTCCCATTCAATTGATTTGGTGAGAAACGAAGATACTTCTGACAAGAGAAACCAGGTGCCCGGTGGTGCTGTCCACTTCTGGATTGGCATGGAACAGCTCAGCCATTGAGATTCGAATTTCTTAATGATGTTTTGAAGTGCAGTAGCAATTTTCTTGTGGAGTTTCTTCTTTTTTCCCCAGGCTCGAGCAGATTTTTCTCACCCAAGGTGACACCTCAGCATCACAGACCTCTTTCAACAATATTAAGACTCCTGGATATAAGGATTCAGAGTCGTCCACACTTGAGCTATGTTTTTCCCCTTTTGTATCACGAGCGGTAGTATCACGTTCAGCTAAAAAGTCTGATCCAGCTATTGATATGCGATCGAGAACTAGTTCAAGGAAAAGGTTATCGCATTCTTCTTGGATGCTGGTTTCGTTATCACTGATTAAACGTGGGATAGAATGCACCCACTCCTTGGTCACAAAGTGTTTCGAGTATGTCCTAAAGGCCTACATCGCAAAAACGAAGAAATTGTTTCAAGGCTGAAACCATTGATAAACTCTACCACTCTTTTCACAAACAATAAAACAATGTTCTAAGATGTAGATACCATGAAATTCATGAACTAAAAAGGAAAGCTGGAAATGAGAATAGGTACACAAAGATGGCTTTCAAATAAGGAAGATTATATGAACGTTCAGATGTCTGATTGGCTTGAAATAATTAGAAACGAGTAAATCACAAATACATTTTCATTTTTTACCTCGGACATGGCCAATATTGCGACTTTCCTAAGGCTAACAAGTGGATCCGAGCAAGCCATGCCCACTGTCTTTAGCAGCTCCTCATCAACTTCGCCTCCTAAAAGTGCAACCAATTTTGGTATGAGTACGAGAGCTGCCTTTGGAACGGCCGCTTTCTCATCCATACATCTAAGCTTAAGAATCTTGTTAACCCCACCAACCCTTTCATGCCCAAATCCCATCATCTCTTTCAACAATACTCGATTTTTATCATCTCCCAACAAGAACACAACCACCTGGGCTAAAGTTGCCAAGGCTCTTGCTCTAATAGCAGCCGTCAAATCAGAACAACGCTGAATAAGTGTTTCCAATAGCCTCTGACCCCATGAGTCCCCTTCACCCTCAGCTGAGTCGAACCCGAAAGGACCCTTAACCGACATAATTAAAACGGGTATTAAATCCACTGATAAAAGCCTCAACTGCCCCTTCCCTTGGCTCATCTTCACCACATAATCAGCAAATTTTACCTGATGCTCAGAATCCAAGGCCTTAACAATTTCAATAATTGACTCGACTGCTAAAGCCCTTGGATCAGCCCTTTCTGGAGATTTTTGTACCAAATATTTAGGCATGTTCGCAACTGCCTTCTTGATGCCATCTGAGTTTTCACCCATCTTTATCATTTTAATTACCACAAAACACAAAGCGTAACTCCTTACTTGTGTTTTAGAGGACAAGATTAACGGGGCTAACGCCTTATTACCTCGGCAGCAGTATCTCCTTGAATCTCGTGCTCGGCTTCAAAGCTTCACTTAAGACTTCCGAAGACAA